GGCGTGATTGTGCGGTGTGTTGCTGCTTTAGACTGGTTTTGGTTGCCGGCGTGATTGTCAGATTATCCGGCGAGGAAGAAAACCAAACTTTGAAATCTCGAATTCAAAGATCAGTCTCTGCGTTCTTCTCTCCAGGAAGATCAGATATGGAGGGAGATGAGAATGTATAAGGGACCTTAGACATCACAAAATAATATTATGGATTTCTCTCATTACTAAAAATGGGAGAGGGACTTTAGACTATTTTTCTCAAAAATTCAACATTTAAAAAAAAAAATTACGTTTCAAATGTATCTAACCTAGATCCATTTTTAAAAAAATATAATATTCATAGAAAAATCTTTAAAAAAATCGTCAAATACAAAAAATATGAAAAAATACAAAATTTTAGTACATTTTCATATACTTATATATTTATTAAATTTTAAAAATATTTTTTTCACAAATATTTTATTTTTAGGTAAACTCCTAATATGTCATAATAGTTAGACTTAATTGTTATTAAGTTTTATTAAAAATAAGTTATAGTAAAATTTTCTCTAATGACTTTTTTTGTCATGATTTTTATAAATTGTGTTTAAAATTTTCAATTAATGACATTTTTTTGTCATGAATTTTTCAATCTAACACTTAAAGTTAAAAATTAGTGATTTCTTTTGTGATGATTTTTTAAATTGTGGCTAAAACTTATAATTAGTGATATTTTTTATGATAAATTTTTTAAACTGTTGCTAAAAATTAATAATTAGTGACATTTTTTAATAGTGTTTGATGAAAAAGTCATTAATTTTCATTGGACCTATTGAATAATAAGTCTATCTATTTGGATCTACGCGTAAATCTTTCTTTATTTTTTAGGTATATCTAAATTATGTGTATTTAAAAAGTAAATAATTTTATTTAAAATATTAAAAAAATTCATTAAAAATAAAAAAAAAAAGAAAAAAAACTAAATTTCCAAAAAAAGAAAGAAAAGAAAAGGTGATTAGAGGGTGCGTACTAAGCTTTCGTTTGGGATATGAGTTAATTTTTTGATTTTTTGACTATGTTAGTTTTAGATTAAAAAGTCTCGTTTGAAATAAATTTTATTAATTATTTTTACTTTTGTCAGAGAAAAAATAAAGTAATCATTTATGCCAAACATAACCTAAAGCCTAATTTGAGAACTCGGTTTGAGATCAATTTTGACTTTTAATCTATTTTAAACCACACATCTCTTTATTTTTTTACATATTTTTTTTAAAAAAAAAAAATAACTTTTAATCAAATCTCTAAGGCCCCGTTTGTTTTGGGAGATAGAATGAAGGGGATTGATAGTGAGAGGATTAATAGTGAGGGGATTGTTAGTGAGGGGATTGATAGTGAGGGGATTAATAGTGAGGAATTGTTAAATTATTTTTATATAAAATAATAAAACAAATAAAAAAATATAAAAAAATAAACATTATATTTAAAAAAAATTCCCAATATATAAAAAATAAAAAAATTTCTAATCCCCTCACTATTTTTCTAATACCATCTCACCTACTCCACTAAACCTAACCCACTACACCACTACCATCTCACCTACTCCACTAAACCTAACCCACTACACCACTACCATCTCACCTACTCCACTAAACCTAACCCACTACACCACTACCATCTCACCTACTCCACTAAACCTAACCCACTACACCACTACCATCTCACCTACTCCACTAAACCTAACCCACTACACCACTACCATCTCACCTACTCCACTAAACCTAACCCACTACACCACTACCATCTCACCTACTCCACTAAACCTAACCCACTACACCACTACCATCTCACCTACTCCACTAAACCTAACCCACTACACCACTACCATCTCACCTACTCCACTAAACCTAACCCACTACACCACTACCATCTCACCTACTCCACTAAACCTAACCCACTACACCACTACCATCTCACCTACTCCACTAAACCTAACCCACTACACCACTACCATCTCACCTACTCCACTAAACCTAACCCACTACACCACTACCATCTCACCTACTCCACTAAACCTAACCCACTACACCACTACCATCTCACCTACTCCACTAAACCTAACCCACTACACCACTACCATCTCACCTACTCCACTAAACCTAACCCACTACACCACTACCATCTCACCTACTCCACTAAACCTAACCCACTACACCACTACCATCTCACCTACTCCACTAAACCTAACCCACTACACCACTACCATCTCACCTACTCCACTAAACCTAACCCACTACACCACTACCATCTCACCTACTCCACTAAACCTAACCCACTACACCACTACCATCTCACCTACTCCACTAAACCTAACCCACTACACCACTACCATCTCACCTACTCCACTAAACCTAACCCACTACACCACTACCATCTCACCTACTCCACTAAACCTAACCCACTACACCACTACCATCTCACCTACTCCACTAAACCTAACCCACTACACCACTACCATCTCACCTACTCCACTAAACCTAACCCACTACACCACTACCATCTCACCTACTCCACTAAACCTAACCCACTACACCACTACCATCTCACCTACTCCACTAAACCTAACCCACTACACCACTACCATCTCACCTACTCCACTAAACCTAACCCACTACACCACTACCATCTCACCTACTCCACTAAACCTAACCCACTACACCACTACCATCTCACCTACTCCACTAAACCTAACCCACTACACCACTACCATCTCACCTACTCCACTAAACCTAACCCACTACACCACTACCATCTCACCTACTCCACTAAACCTAACCCACTACACCACTACCATCTCACCTACTCCACTAAACCTAACCCACTACACCACTACCATCTCACCTACTCCACTAAACCTAACCCACTACACCACTACCATCTCACCTACTCCACTAAACCTAACCCACTACACCACTACCATCTCACCTACTCCACTAAACCTAACCCACTACACCACTACCATCTCACCTACTCCACTAAACCTAACCCACTACACCACTACCATCTCACCTACTCCACTAAACCTAACCCACTACACCACTACCATCTCACCTACTCCACTAAACCTAACCCACTACACCACTACCATCTCACCTACTCCACTAAACCTAACCCACTACACCACTACCATCTCACCTACTCCACTAAACCTAACCCACTACACCACTACCATCTCACCTACTCCACTAAACCTAACCCACTACACCACTACCATCTCACCTACTCCACTAAACCTAACCCACTACACCACTACCATCTCACCTACTCCACTAAACCTAACCCACTACACCACTACCATCTCACCTACTCCACTAAACCTAACCCACTACACCACTACCATCTCACCTACTCCACTAAACCTAACCCACTACACCACTACCATCTCACCTACTCCACTAAACCTAACCCACTACACCACTACCATCTCACCTACTCCACTAAACCTAACCCACTACACCACTACCATCTCACCTACTCCACTAAACCTAACCCACTACACCACTACCATCTCACCTACTCCACTAAACCTAACCCACTACACCACTACCATCTCACCTACTCCACTAAACCTAACCCACTACACCACTACCATCTCACCTACTCCACTAAACCTAACCCACTACACCACTACCATCTCACCTACTCCACTAAACCTAACCCACTACACCACTACCATCTCACCTACTCCACTAAACCTAACCCACTACACCACTACCATCTCACCTACTCCACTAAACCTAACCCACTACACCACTACCATCTCACCTACTCCACTAAACCTAACCCACTACACCACTACCATCTCACCTACTCCACTAAACCTAACCCACTACACCACTACCATCTCACCTACTCCACTAAACCTAACCCACTACACCACTACCATCTCACCTACTCCACTAAACCTAACCCACTACACCACTACCATCTCACCTACTCCACTAAACCTAACCCACTACACCACTACCATCTCACCTACTCCACTAAACCTAACCCACTACACCACTACCATCTCACCTACTCCACTAAACCTAACCCACTACACCACTACCATCTCACCTACTCCACTAAACCTAACCCACTACACCACTACCATCTCACCTACTCCACTAAACCTAACCCACTACACCACTACCATCTCACCTACTCCACTAAACCTAACCCACTACACCACTACCATCTCACCTACTCCACTAAACCTAACCCACTACACCACTACCATCTCACCTACTCCACTAAACCTAACCCACTACACCACTACCATCTCACCTACTCCACTAAACCTAACCCACTACACCACTACCATCTCACCTACTCCACTAAACCTAACCCACTACACCACTACCATCTCACCTACTCCACTAAACCTAACCCACTACACCACTACCATCTCACCTACTCCACTAAACCTAACCCACTACACCACTACCATCTCACCTACTCCACTAAACCTAACCCACTACACCACTACCATCTCACCTACTCCACTAAACCTAACCCACTACACCACTACCATCTCACCTACTCCACTAAACCTAACCCACTACACCACTACCATCTCACCTACTCCACTAAACCTAACCCACTACACCACTACCATCTCACCTACTCCACTAAACCTAACCCACTACACCACTACCATCTCACCTACTCCACTAAACCTAACCCACTACACCACTACCATCTCACCTACTCCACTAAACCTAACCCACTACACCACTACCATCTCACCTACTCCACTAAACCTAACCCACTACACCACTACCATCTCACCTACTCCACTAAACCTAACCCACTACACCACTACCATCTCACCTACTCCACTAAACCTAACCCACTACACCACTACCATCTCACCTACTCCACTAAACCTAACCCACTACACCACTACCATCTCACCTACTCCACTAAACCTAACCCACTACACCACTACCACCTCCACTTCACCTACTCCTTACCTACTACACACTCACCCTCTTCTATATATAGGAATCATGAATCATTGTAATAAATACAACATATAACAATCAATAATACAATCAATATCTATACAATTCTCTATTTCTCTTTATACATTAAAATTTCTACAGTAACCAACTTGGACATAGTCATAGGAAGATTGTCCAATTGCAAAGTCGCTTTGGTATTGATGTCGAGAACTTGAAATGCCCTTCTTTTGTTGCTTCTCAACCAACAAAGGTGGCACTTGACTAGAAAGCAAAAAGTGCTCCCTGAGTTTCTTTCTCATCTTCCTCCACTCTGTTACCTTTTCTTGGCCTACCAACTTGTAATTGTTTCCACCAATCGGAGGCATGACCTTTGAGGGTTTGAGAGACCAATTTCACCTTTCTTGCTTCCGGCACATCATAACACAACAAATGACTCTCGATTGTATTCAACCATTCCTCAAACCATCTTGAATGTACTTCTATGGAATTCGGAAAACACTAAATCCTTGACGGAGTCATTCCACTTAAAATCAAACTCGTGTGAATATGCTCTACAACCGAAGGTATCATCAAATTAATGATCCTTGGAACCATTACTTCCTTTGGAAAGAAGGTTCAAGCGTTGCACTTTTCCAACCAGGGTAGCTATTTGTGAACTCAACTTTTCAATCTCATTCCGTTGATTTTGGTTTCCAATGTTCCTTTCAATTGAGGGATTCGTCTCGATTTCTTCACCCAAATTCAGAGCATAAGCCCTACCACGGCCACCCTTACAACCTCTACCTCTTTGAGCCATTGACACAAAACAGCTCAATTTTCAAAATCACAACAATACTAGATCAGTGAGCATTTCTCAACAGTCCCAGCTTAATCAACCAATTTCATAGACTCCAGTGAAGCCACACACATTATTGCAACGTTCCAAGCCAAAGAAAAATGGACCAGGAACAAAGATTGAGTTCCAGCCAAGAATCAAGAATGCAGAAATTCAAGAATCAAGAATCAAACAATCAAGATTCAATATCAACTGATATGAATAGACTTGATTCACAGAAATTGGTCAAAAACAGTTGCAAACAAGGTTGTTAAAATCGCGATCCGGATTGTAGGATCGTACGATCCTACGATCCATTTTTAGAGAATCGATCCAAATCGCATGCTGAATCGTATTTTGCTCAGGATCGGAACAGGATCGTTAGGATCGTTAATGGGATACGATCCTACTTTTGTCTCTTTTCTGATGCTTTTATTACAGGTTTGATGCACCTTCTCTCTCTTCTAAACACTTACGACATAAGATTAGGGCAAAATATTGGGGGAAAATTGCTGAGCAGCCTCCATCCAGCCTCCATCCAGATTCCAGCTCCAGGTATGCTTCGTCTTCTCTTCTTCTTCTTCTTCATCTCTGTTCGACTCATTCTTCTCTTCTTTTCTGTGCTTCGAGTCCTTCTCTTCTCCTCTATTCGACTCCTTCTTCTCCTCTGTTTGTCTTCTTCGACTCCTTTTCTTCTTCTCCTCCATCTTCTTTTTCCTCTGCTGCTGCCTTTTTTTTTCCCTCTTCTTCCATTTTTCTGACCTTCATTCCCCTTTTTTTTTCCCCCTTTTCCACTTCGTCTTCCATTTTTCCCCTTCTTCCATTTTTCCATTTTCCTGTCAACCTAATTAAATTAATTTTTAACTTGTAATTTATTTTGCAGATAGCACCAAGGAAAAGTGCGCAGAAACATACCAGTGTACCACCAAGGAAAAGTGCAGCTTCATTTTATACAGGTTTGTTCTCATTCCCCTTTTTTTTTCCCCCTTTGTAATTGTAATTTCTAACATAATTTGTAATTATAATTTGTAATTTGTAAATTAACTTCTAAATTCTAATTTATCCTTATCTATAATTTCAATGAGGCCTTTGTAGGGCATCATGGTATTACTATTGTAATCAATTTATTTTTGACTGTAACTTGACTTTTTTCTCTCTGATATTTCACAACTATCAAATTGTAAATTGTAGTCAATTGATTCAGTGATATTCAATATATGATTGTAGGTTTGTCAATTGAGTTAAAAATGTCTGCCTCTGGTTCTGGAAGAGGGAGGAAGAGGAAAAATGTTGCGGGTAACCGAACGGATCCTGGTTGGGAACATGGAATTGAAATAGATGCTGCAACCAAAAAGGTACAATACAAGTATTGTAATGTGACTCGATCGGGAGGTATATATAGATTAAAACATCATTTAGCTTGTACTCATCAAAATGTTGAGCCATGTCCTCAAGTCCCAGAAGATATTAGAGGAAAGTTTATGAGTCTTTTAAGAACTCAAACATTAGAGTCTCAAAATAAAAAGAGAAAGATGTTTGATGTTGGTGATGATTCTGAAGAGGAGGTGGAACTATTAGCATATCATCATCAAAACAAACAAAAACGGGTGGGTGCCATAGATAAATTTGTGATGAAGAAATCTGGACGTCAAAATCAAAAAACTAACTATACAAAAGCTGAGGACGACAAAAGTATTATATTAGTTCTACACAAAAGTGAATATTCTTCTCCATACACCAATATGGATTATCCACAAGTCCATGCAACAAAGCCATCTACAAAGAAAAACAAAAAACGAAACATAAGAATTGGTTACAAAATATCAATTCAGTCAGCCATATGGAACATGTTCTAACATACATTTAACGTAGAACAATCGAGAAATGTCTTCTTGGAAATAAAAGAAATGTATATATATATATATATGTATCATGCAATATTTATTCCAACTAACTGCACAAACAATCTAATATGTAATTTCTTCATCCTATAAATATACAAAGGCAATTATTATAATATTTGGATGTTATTTTCATAAAGTTGTCACTCTTTAAACTAAGTGTTACGCATTTTTCGACTAAGTATAAGGCATTTTTGGCTCTAACTCCCAACCTACGGGCCCGAAAAAAATTTCGTTTGTTGTCACAGGTCGTGTTCGTCACGGGGAAGCGGTCCATGACAGTCATATTGTGGTTTGAGGGCTATTTTGAATTTTTGACCCGGAACATCATATTTCGACTAAGTTTAAGGCGTTTTCGGCTCCAACTCCCAACCTATGGGTACAAATTACATTCCATCTAATGTCACAGGTTCTAATTGTCTTGGGGAAGCAGTCTGTGATAGCCACATGGTGGTTCGGGGGCTGTTTTGAATTTTCACCCCAAGAACGCCTTTTTTCGACTAAGTTCAAGGCGTTTTTAGCTTTAACTCCCAACCTAAAGGTCTGAATTACATTCCGTCTATTGTCACAGGTCGTAATTGTCATGTGGAAGCTTTCCATGAGAGCCATATGGTGATTCAAGGGCTGTTTTGAATTTTTGCCCCCACAACGCCCTTTTTCGACTAAGTTTAAGGCGTATTCAGCTCTAACTCCTAACCTACGGATCCAAATTACATTTCATCAGTTGTCATAAGTCCTGTTTGTCAGGGGTAAGCTGTCCATGAGAGCCACATAGTGGTTCGGGGGCTATTTTGAATTTTTGCCCCTGGAATGCCCTTTTTCAACTAAGTTTAAGTCGTTTTCAGGTCTAACTACAAGTCTACGCGTCCTAATTACATTCTGTCAGTTGTCACAAGTCTTATTTGTCAAGGAGAAGCTGTCTGTGAGAGCCACATGCTGGTTCGACGGCTATTTTGAATTTTTACCCCTGGAACACCCTTTTTCGACTAAGTTTAAGGCGTTTTCGACTCTAACTCCGAACCTACGGGTCCAAATTACATTTCGTCTACTGTCACATGTCTTATTTGTCATGGGAAAGCTGTTTGTGAGAGACACATGGTGGTTCGGGGGATGTTTTAAATTTTTGGCCGCAGAACACCCTTTTTTGACTACATAGCAAAGATAGCATAATAACCAGAACAAGAGCATATAATGTAAATAGAAACCACATCATGATTAGTAGAGACCGATCTTTAATCAGGTGAGTACGGTGCTCAATTCATGACCTTCCCCTCTCATACCTAAGTTCCCGAGTCTAGACACTTTGGTGATGACGGACAAGTGGCCTTTGGCACGACTCATGGGTTTCCTAAATTTTCAAAAAATATTTAGGTGGCGACTCTATAATCTGGCAATGCAGTCCATATTTGGAATTTTTGATTCAAAATCGATTTTCCAAAAGATTTGCCGGATTTGGACTCATTTGTGCTTATCTATTTCACATTGCACTTGTGAAATCGGATTCAGAACCATGAGAGTCTGAATTGTAGGGCTAATCGTATCCGAAAGGAGCACAGAAAGCAAGCTACAATTCCATGCAACCTGTAATGCGTATATAAACAAAATGATACATATACTATCAATCATTCCACAATCTGCATCCGTATACAAAAAATATATAAATTTAAACGTCAAAGTCCATACAAACCAACTATTATCCAAACTAAAATAATAATTCCATACAAAATATAGAATCATACAAAAATCAAAGCCCTCCGTATACAAAAAAAAAAATACATTTACTACTAAGCGAAATTACCATTTGGCATGGTACAAATTACCATCGTGATATGTACCACAACAAAAGGTAATATATGTACCACGACAAAATTTTTCTATGGACCATAACAAAACGTCCTATATGTACGCCGACAAATGGTATATATGTACCACGACAGAAGATGATCTATGTATCACGACAGTCATTATCTATTGATTGACAAAAGTTTTCTGTATCAGTAATAATGAACTACACAAAAGCTGATGACGACAAAAGTAATATATTAGTTCTACACAAAAGTGAAAATTCTTATTCATACACCAATATAGATTATCCACAAGTCCACGCAACAAAACCATCTACAAAGAAAAACAAAAAACGAAACATTAGAATTGGTTACAAAGGCTTGACAGTTTTAGTTATCTCATCTTCAATTTTGTTTACGATATTCTGAAGAAAAAACTAGATGCCATCATGTTTTACAAATATGAACTGTAAGTTACACTTTGCCTCCAACTAGAGTAAGATGTCAATCATTATGATATTTCATATTTTATTATTAGTATCGTAAAACAGAATATTAAGGCCTTTTTGAAGTATTATTTTAGTTCATTTAGGTCATGTTTGGACATCTGGATGGGATTTTGGTCCAAGTAGGAGATATATTGTCAAACTGGATTGGAAGCGTATCCTCCATAGATAAATATTTTCTGTTGAGTATTTGATGTGGTATTGATTAATAGCCAACAATAGTGTTATATAACATTTTTTTTTCTTTTCTTAATTATCAAAATCCAATAAAATTTTGACACAGAGGAAAAGAGTCAGCAAGTGAAAACAGGGGCAAATAGAGGATGGTCGTATGCGGAGGTTCTCAAGCTTCCATCAGTGAGTTTGTTAAGAGATGGTCCTGCGCTAGTACTTCATCAGGCGGTGGTGTGTGAGAGGGCAGATTTCTTTATTGGGTGGGAGCAAATTGAGAAGGAATTATGTAAATCTTACAAGATATCTATTAAGCTGCATCCCTTCCAGTTGAATCGAGCTCTGTTCTTCACCAAGACCGAGGATATGGCTGCTTTCTATGGGGGTAAAGGGTGGCAGTTTTTTGGAATGGGTATTGCGGTATTGTTGGAAAGGTGGTCAGAAGAGAAGCATAGGAGATCGAATGTGATTGCTTCGTACGGTGGCTGGATTGCTATTTGTGACTTGCCATTTAATCTATGGAATATCAGTATCTTTGAGCAAATTGGGAGGAAATGTGGAGGGTTTCTAGAAGTGGATAACAGAACAAAGAATTTTGAAAATCTGTTTGAGGTGAGGTTGAAGGTGAGAGGATCGGATTCTGGGTTTCTACCTTCAACCATGGAGATCTCGACGGATCATGGAGCCATCACAGTGCGAGTAAAAGGGATTTCGAAGTCTTTCAGTCGAAAGGAGGGTCATCGGCACTGGGATTTTCGGCAAGAGTTTCCATCGGAGATTGGCGTCGGAGGTGGAGGAGATAAAGAGTCTGGGGGGACAGCTGCGACACGTGGCTGTCTGGTTCCTAAGGAAGTTGGGGTTAACGAAGGGGCTCTGATATTCGTCAGTGAGAATGTCAACGAAGAGGGAAGGTCAAGCGGTGGGCATGAGTGTAATGAACATGGGCCTCGTGTTTTGGGCTCCAGGGCTCGAGAGGCTAATTTAGGTGAAGATGGGCTGTTGGATGTGCTTGGGCCCAGATCAGGTTTGGGTCTTTCTTTTACACCAATTGCAGACCAGGTCCGTGACGAGGAGATTTTTGATTTGGGCCTTTTGAGCTCTAGTCATTTGGGCCAAGGAGGGGATCTTGTGGAGGATAGTCCACTGGGTAAAAAACAACCAAGTTGTATGTTCATGATGGGTCGAATCCAGTCCAAATGGGCATTTCTGTTACTGGTTCGGATCTAGGGCTTTGTCGGGTAAAAGAGACAATGGGTATTTTCGATCGGGTGAATGATTGTATACAAACAACGACCCAGGTGGACGATAGGGATGAAGGCAACGACAGTCGGCGACAGGAGGATGTGGAGATTGGGGCTGATCTGGTTCCGACTAAGCTGGTTGGATTAAACCCGAACGAAATTCAACTGGGTTTGGCCGATGTGGTCGATCGTTCCACAGGTCAGTTTCTTCGGGTTGAGCGACACACTGGTGTTAATGATTTGGTTGAAGATGAGGATGTAGCGATCGAATTTTTACCTGATGTTGACAGAATGGTTCACGAAGTGGAAGGGGACATCTGTGATCCTCAAGGGGTGCTTCAAGCATTGGAAGAATATGGATCTTTAGATAGTTCTAATGAATCTCTTGGTCCGAATGAGGAAAATGAGGATTATTCGGAGGAGGAGAGGGCTAATGATGTTGAATTGAATCTCACTGGGTTATATCATGAAGAGGAGGTACCAGGTTCTTCTTGTATTAAACACACTGGGGGATTTTAGGGTGAGGAAGTCTTCAAGTCTTGTGAACAGGTTGGTGGCTCTATTGACAGGGACAACATGAATTCTTCACTTCATCCTCATATTCAGAGTTCTCATTCTGTGTCAGTTAGAGGGGTGGGGCAGGAGGGGGAGTCAGTATTGGGTCCTTGTTTCTTACAAGTTTCCGGAAAGGTTTCTGTAGAAATTTAATGTATAAAGAGAAATAGAGAATTGTATTATTGATTGATTTATGTTGTATATTACACATGGTGAGTATGTTCTTTATATAGGAGATGTAGTAGGTGAAGTGGGTGGAGTAGGTGTAGTAGGTGGTGGAGTAGGTGAAGTGGGTGGAGTAGGTGTAATGGAGTAGGTGAAGTGGGTGAAGTAGGTGGTAGGTTTTAACAGAAGCAGAGTTCAGAGCTGTTGCCCATGGAATTGTGAAGTAATGTGGATTAAAAGAATTCTTGAAGAATTAAAGCTTTCTCACCCGACACCTATGAAGGTCTATTGTGACAACAAAGCAGCTATATCTATAGCTCATAATCCAGTTCTACATGATCGCACAAAACATATAGAAGTGGATAAACATTTCATCAAGGAGAAAATCAATGTTGGCATAATCTGTATGACCTACCTTCCAACAGGTGAACAATTAGCTGATGTGCTTACGAAGGGACTACACAAGAAGCAATTTGATAAGCTGACTAGCAAGCTGGCTATGGAAGATATCTTCAAACCAGCTTGAGGGGGAGTGCTGGAAATTTGTGTTAATGCATATAATAAGATAGTGGCATATGATAGTGGTGTTGGTGGTAGATAGTGGCATGTATAGAATATAATACAGTTATGTTAGAGATTGTTTTGTGCTTTGAGTTGGGGGATAGCTTAGAACATGATTTGAAAACCATAGGATGTGCCTATGCCTTAAGTGAGGAGCTTAAAGACCTTAGTCTAATGAACTTGACCATTTTATGCTATTTGTTAATTTGCTAATTAGGATCAGTGCTAATTAAGTAGGATTAGTGAACTCTAATTAGAATAAATTAGGGTAAGGAAGATTAGGATTCAACCTTGATTAGTTATTCCTAACATGAATTAGATTAAGATAAACTAAACCATTTTTGTCCCATCTGTGATTTGTCTTTCTCCAAGTCAACAAAACCAAGTTTGAAGAAGAAAAATTCTGCTGGAAAATTTGAGAACAATCTAGAGAAACGGAGAAGAGAGGAAGAAGGAAGAAAGGAAGAATAATTCAAGGATCTTACCAAAACTCATGCCTAAACAAATCCAAGGTAAGATTTCTATTTTCAATCCTATAGTAGACTCTCCTGGCATCAAGAATCAAGAAAAAGTTTAGGATTAATTTGGTTTAAGATTGGAGATTTGAGTGAAAGAATGAAGGAAGTTGGTTTAGGAGGAAGAACAAGGCATGTAGTTTAGGAATTCATTTGTTTGAACGTGTTCATGATGTCTTTGATGCATTCATGTCTTCATCTCCATGCATCCTCTTGATTTTCAATGATTTCATAAATTAATTTTAGGTTCTAAATGAGAAAATGAAGAGTTTGAGCAAAAGCTTGAAACCATGGAATTTCCTAACAAAACTTGAATTCATAACTTCAAATCTTAGAATTTCATTGTGTTTTCGATTTAGAAACCAATCATATTTCTATGTTTGCCATTGATTTTCATGATTTAGATTGAGTTTTTGTAAGCCTTAGCCCAAGAAAATAGAGATAGAACACTTTGAGTTTGCTGAATTTTTGAGCAACAATTTTTCCCCAGAACCGCACGTGCAGCAAGGACTCCCGCATGTGCAGCTGGCCTCCCCTATTTATGCTCCAGGTCTGAAATAATTGTAGGTGCGGGCCGCACCTGCCCTGCCCTGCCCAAACCGCACAAGCGGATTTGGTCCCACACATGCGGAAATGCCCTGTTTGGCCTACACCCTTGTTTCATGACCCTCTTGCTCATAGAACACTTCTTGGATCCATTTAACACTTGGATAAGGTTTGAATTAGATCTAGATTGATGCTAGAACACTCGAGAGAATTTAGGAGAATGTTAACGAAGTTTAGAAACCAATTTGTTGTGTGAATGCTTAGGAAGTTCAATACTTTACTCTTGTTTTGTAGATTAAACTTCGAGGAGTTAAACCCTTGTTCACAGAGCCAATGGTGAGTAGTAGTGTCGTAAAGTTATTTTTCTTAAATTATGATTTGAAGTGCAAATGTCTGGTATGTTTAAGGAAACTATAATATTGTTTTACTATGAATGAACATCATATATTTTTGTATCATGTATTAAGATGACTTCTTGGAACAAGTTTGTTATTGGGAATCAAGCCAATGACCTCTAGCTAACAGAGCTCTTTGCCACTCGTTGTGGCCTCTCGTTTCGAAAAGCCTTGGAATGTTCATCGCTATGTATATAAGCTTGCAAGTTAAACTTTGTTTATCATGTACAAACTATATTATGTTTGATATGAGCTTGTGTTTGTTTTAATAAAGTTTATCGGTGTTCATTCATTTACCACTTTACTATATTGCTATTCATTGAGTTTTGGCTCACCTCTCTCCCCTATATGTATGTAGGTGATGGAGATGATCAGATTGAGGAAGAGAGAACAAGCTAGAAGTCTTTTTCTTTTCTTTTTCTACTTTTGGGAGTTGCAATTTTGAGAGGACGATCTTGTATATAAGTTTTGATTTTTGTTTAAGTGAATGTTTGTAATGTTGTACCTTTTTTTTCACTGTTTGGACTTGTAAATGCCAAAGATAAATAAATAAGATGTATGCTTGCTTTGTTTTCATACAACTTATGCACTTGATCTGAATGGACTCTTGGTAATTAATGGACAATGTATTTTAGTCCAGTTTTGTCTTGTCTTGTCTTGCTAGGCCTTTGGTAGTCAGGCACTATTGGCCGGTCATACCTGCTATCCTATTTGGGGTGGGATGGGGGCGTGACACCAACCCATCGATGGCTCCCAGGACAGCTACACGGAGCCATTGGGACCGTTTGGAGTAGTTGAAGTCATTTTCTTTTTCTTTTTTTTTTTCTTTTTTTTTTTGGTTTTAGGCTGGTTTGTTGCTCAATATCAAGAATGGGGGTTGAGATTATGGAGTTATGAAGAGATGTTTGGTTGGAAGCCATGAATGGAATGGGAAAGGAAAGGAATGAGGGAGTGATGCGAGTAGATGAGGAAAAAGATGATGAAAAAGGTGATATGGAGTGTGGTGGACACACTCTTTGAAGTTGATAGGGGTTTTTATAATCAGAAACTCTAGGATTCTAGAAAAATTGTTTAGAATTTATCCATGAATTTTATTATGTGGTTTAGATTTAATTCTATAATGGAGGTCACACTTGAAATAAATCTCCACCCTTCAATGTTTATTAGGGAATTTTTTTGGGTAAATAATTATGGGACCCTAGCAACTCTTTTTTATAATGAGTGGTGGGGGGTTGGTTGTTAAGTTGTCAATTTTTCCAAAAGTCTAAGTTGTTAGAAAATGAGTTGAACAATGTATGTTAAGCTATCTAATACCTTCTCTTATGTCCAATCCCGTCTTGCTCATGGATAGGCAAACACAAGTAGAAACAAACAATCAAACAAAGAAGAAACCAAATGGGGATATAATACTAAATGGTAATGGAGAGACTTGAATTTAAAACCTCTCTCAACCATAGAGAGAGATACCATGTTAAGTTGACAATTTTTTCAAAAACTTGTTATTAGCAAATGAGCTCAACAATATATATTAAGCTATCTAACATAGGCCACTAATGCAAACAAATATGGTAATGATATACAAACATTACTTTTTTACAAAATTTCTATATTGAATGAAGTGGTTTCGAGAGATTCTATTTTCACACACCAAAAATGCTCAGTTCACACATTTATTATAGGTATATTTTTAATTTTGATTTTATCCCTAAATCAAATTAGTCTTTTGCACAATTCTCTAAACCTTATCAACTTTGCTGCATTATCTTGAACAAGATTGTATGTGTTTGTACATTCTTAACAAGTGATTTAAGCCCTAGCAAGTTCTATATATGTTTTTCCAAGCTTATAAGGGGGTCGAATTCCGAACCCTTTTCTCAAGTATACCTATTACCAAAAATGGACAACTCTTAGAGACACATGCGCATACACATATATTGTTCAAAATAATTAGATGCCCATTAGGCTATTTTTAAATCTATTTGTTTGGGTCGATAAAATTGGTCATCCCTTGGGTTGTGTTTAAACCTATTTATTTGGTTCAATGAAAGTTTGTTTGACATAAGTTCGTTTATGTAGACAAACAAAACTTGAGCATATTTTGAATCTTGTAAAAAATTTTGAGCTCAAATTGAATTCAACTTAAAAAAATCATATACATTACATAAAATCAAACTACTCAAACTCAGTTTATAATCATCTTGAATAAAGTTTACTTGAGATCATTTAAAAAAAACAAACAAACAAATTAGCAATTGACTATTCAACTCGTTTACAGCCTTGTTAACCACAATCGAGAAATTTGGGCCCATAAAATCCATACCTAACAAACCTGTAACAAAAAAAATAAAAAATAAAAAAATAAAGGACAAAAAGTAGTGAGAGAGGAAGCGTGGGGAAGGAGATAATATAAGTGAATTGTCTTTATTCAATCCAAATACAAATGTTGGGTTGGGGATGCTTTTTTTTTCTCTCAACTTTCCACTGAAATATATATTGGAAGTTGAGGACTCCCACTTATGCCTTCTATGGTTATGGTGCTACTCTTCTTTCATGGAGTAATTACAATGACACGTATATATATATATATATATAAATATCTATGTTTGAAAAATTCTACAATGGCAAATGTATTAATGCTACTTTCAACTTTCTTTGAAGGGTTATCCATTAGGGTTATCCATTTGACGTTCTTCTTTCTGAAGGTAGAAGATGTTGCATTTGTTTTTGACTCACTATTAAAATTATCTACACATTTATTTTGTTAACTTTTTTAAAAAGAAAACTAAATGAAACATGTGTGGGGTGATCTCCGCTCAAATGGAATTGGAGCTCTGCTTAGCGATCCAGGAACTGTAATCTGCACACTTGAGTGCATTGTTAGTGCTATCCGACTGAGTGTTTGCCTGGAAAAGTGGCTCCAATGGTCAAGTCAATGATCAAACAAGAATGTAAGTGTGTATTCTCCTAAAAAAGGATGAGATTTTTTTTTTTTTTTTTTTTTTAAGCTTCCCTAAAAAATGATAAGGGTTTTATCTTTTCTTTTCTTTTCCTTTTTTATTAAAAAAAAAAAAAGTCTCCCTCCCTTGCTCTCCGATAACCACTTGAGAATAACTATCTCACATGTGTCATCATCCCTAAATAGAGGGGATCACCATTCTGTTATATGAAATATTCACGAAGCAATCCGCTATCCTATGTGATAGAATATTCTCATGTTGATCTCATAAAATCACTGAGACTGTATATGACATGTAACTCTAGACGAGCGAGTCTTATCCAATTCATCAAGTACCTCAACTAATATCTGCCTACGTTTTGCTCTACCTGCCATTAACCTTGCTAGGTAAAGGGTTCAGCTCAATCCTAGTTGACCCACATCGGCGTGCCTCAATCCAACCCCTAATTTAGGGATTGCCTGCTTCCACTCCGAGGGTCCTAATGGCTCGGCCCATGGTCATCGCCTGCTTGGCTTAGTCTAGCCTTGCTCGCTCAATTTTGTCCCTATGTAGTATGCATTTGTTTACCAAACAATAAGTTTTATAAAAACGAGCGACTCCATAGATTCTGAAGTAGTGCACATAAAAATATTTAGAAAAATAACATATGATTTAAACTTATTTTATATACATAAGTCTTATTGAATTTAAAATCACAAATTATTTTTCTAGATTCATAAATTTATTGCTATGAAATTATTTGGAGTACCAAAAGAGAAACAACATTGTCAACATTGTCACTAGTGAATGGTGACAAAGACCTGTGGGTGTTAATTTCCAACTTTACAACCAAACAGGGAATTTAGCTAAAGAGCACGCGACAGAATAAATTAAACCAAGCACTTGCACACAAGAAAATGAGAATACCACCATGGCTCGTCCACCCAGGGATACTCCAACGATCAAGTAAGTCAACAATCTTACAAGATCTTAACTCAAATAATTAGTGCACAAATAAAAGCATATCTTAGACCCACAGAGGTGCCTCGCTTTTATAGCGAGTAGTGCCCTCATACCCTAGAAGTCTCACTTCATATGACTCAAGCACAATGCTTATCTCGAACTCTTAGTTAGATATGGATGAACTCCTCAAGAACCTCATCCCTATCTGAACGATGCGCCTCACTTATCTAGGATTTTTGTCCCCTGTCCAAACATCTCGGATTCCAATATTACCGCACCATATCTCGACAATATCGCAACCACCACGACAATCTGGCTCGTCCATGTCACCACTACAATTACTTCGGCCACATGGCCGAACTTGCCTCTTGCATGGCTTCCACAAACTCATTCGTGGATTTCTTACAAGAAGTCTTCTACCTGGAAAGGGTGCACACATCACAGTAAAAGTCCAGTGAAGGACCTTCTGTATAAGTGGCCTTCTGCTGACAAGTAGAATCTTGCCGACTTTAGCCTAATCTTGTGTGCTTCCTTTTTGTCTTCTGGAAGCTCGCTATCTCTAATAAACTTGACCAAGGCATCTATCTAGCTTGGGTCCAGCTCTATGCACATTACCTCGTATTTTGTTATCAGAGGTTCCACGCTTGGGTCCAATAAGTAGTCCACCATAATTGTTCTCGGCATGTCCGACTTTATTATACTGGCAAGGTTGGCCAATGCATTCGCATGGCTGTTATCTTCTTAGCAAACCTACTGCAATTGACAACTCTAGAATTGTGCTAATAACTTGATGACCTCTTTCACATAGGCCACCATCCTCTCATCCTGGGCTGTGTACTCCCCGGTTGCTTGGTTCACAATGAGTTGGGAGTCATAGTAGACTACCACTTCCTTGGCTTCGACTGCTACTGCTAGTTTCAATCTGACAATCAACGCCTCATACTTTGCTTCATTATTTGAGGCTTTAAACCCCAGTTGGATTGATTGTTCTACCATTTGGCCATCTGGTAAAACTTGTACCATTCATGCCCCTGTTCCTTGCCAATTTGAATTGTCGTCGACAAAAAGGCGGAAAGACTCACCGATGTAACTATCACAAGGCTTCGGCTTCTCTTGTTTTTGCTTCTATCTTATTGGTTTGGGGTTCTCTGTTGCCAATGGTGTTTCCTCTAGCCCTTCTGCGCACCTTAGGCTAAGGTTCATGGGTCTTGGCTTCAGACTTGCGCTCAGTGTAAACTTAGCAACAAAGTCAGCCAAAACCTGACCTTTAATTGTTGTCTTTGGTTTGTATTCTATGTTGTATTGACCTAGAACTACAACCCATCGTGCAATTCTTCTTGACAAGTCTCTGTGTTGCAATAAAGACTTCAGTGGGTGCTCCGTGAGTACCACAATCTTGTAAGCTTGGAAGTAATGGCTCAGTTTCTTTGATGCCATTACCAGTGCAAGTGTTAGTTATTCCAGAGGTAGGTTCCTCATTTTTACACTTGCCAGAGTTTAGCTCACATAGTACACTGCATCCTGCTCCCTTTTTTCTTCTCGAATGACCGCGGCGTTGACAGCGTGGTCCGAGACTACTAAAAATAGTTCTTCTCCTGGAATTGGATTTGACAACACATGTGGGGTTGTCATAGGGGTGAGCATGGTCCGGATTGGACCGGATTGGGGTAAAATCAGGACCAATCCGTTATCTACGGTTCC